TTATTCCAAGCTCATTCCAAAGTTTTTCTCATTTCTGGTTGGACGATGAACATTGTTGTGTTGCAAGATGAAGTCTGAGTTTAGCGTGTGTTTATTCATCTGCTTGGTAAACACAGACGTGTGGTTCGGTCCGAGTGTTTGTCTGCTGCCGTCACCGTGACGCACACCTGGGTGGAGACCGTGTGACATCACTCCTCCAGGGGTAAAGGGCGTCGCTGTTGCAGACGTCTGAGTGTGTGTCGCTGGTTTGAGTCACGTCTGAATTCCTGCCCGATGTCATGAGTAACTTTGTAAGACAACGGGCAGCAAAGTCCAGCTGAACTTCACACTTCACTTAAATCACAGATCGATCTTGAGAGATTTCCTTTTTTCTTGTGAAAAGTGATCTTTAGGTGAAGGTCAGTTTAGGTCAGATGATGAATTCAGACTTTCAACGTCACTGCACATTAACGACGTGGAGGCAGAATCAGTTTGACTCTTCATTGTCTTGATAGAATACATTTGTGACATTTTATTACAAATAACAAACAGAATTTATAATGAAGTCATTGACTGTGGAAGTGGATCCAGATTCAGTCGAGAGAAACCAGAGGTGCGTGCGTGCGTGCGTGCTGGGTGGGTTGGATGGCTGGCACCTTAAGCTTGTTGCTAATAATAATCTGAAAGTACACACACTAACAAATCAACACTGAATGTATGTACACACTGACACACACTCTGGTGTCAGTCATTTATTTGGGATTTGTCAGCTTTAATTCAGGAACATTAATCTGCTACGAGACAAACTAAGCAAACATAAGAGAGTAAAGGTGATAATTATAATCTGAGTCCAGACCAAACTCCAAATAACAACTCAGTCACTCTGACACTGAGTCTGTCACTGTCCTTTGTGTCCGCTCCCCCGCCCCAGATGTTACAACATGTTTAGATTTAAAAATTCAGTAGTTTTGAACTGATGATCATTTTCATGTCTCTAATCATCAGACAAAATCTTTACACACTTTTCATCTCTAGTGTCAATCATGACTGTTGTTCTATCATCAATAACTAATGAAACCAAACTCATCAGAAACACTGGAACAAACCTCAGAGAGAAGAACGAGCTGAAATGACAGAAACATCTACTTTGACTTCTTAGTTTGGTTCATGTCCCATCTGCTAACACGGAGGAGGAGGGTTTATGAGCTGTACTGCAGCCAAACACCAGGGGGCAATAGAGATGATTCAGCCTTACTTTTAGGAGCTGTCATGT